CATCATTGCTATTCAACATTGTGTTGGAGGTTTTAGTCAGTGCAGTAAAACAAGGAAAGGGAAAGAAAATAAAGACCGGACAGGAATGTACCACATGTCATTACTTGCAGACTCTATGATTATTTACACAGAAAATTCAAGACAGCCTATGAACACATTAGAACTAAGAAAGAGTTCAAGTTTGTTGAATACAAGATTATGATATAAAAATAATAATCAATAATCAATAAAAAATATAAATTTGAAAATATAATTTACAATAGCAACTAAACCTTTAAGAGATATGTAGGTATAGTTCTGAGTAAACTACCGACAAAGTTAATTCCTCTCAGTTTTTAGTTGAGGAAATAGAAGCCGCAAGAGGGGAAATGACTCTTCCAACGACACCAGTAAGCCAGGGGCAGTTCTGGATTTTCAGTGGCACCAAATGCTGGAGGTCTGAGTGTTGGGTAATTTCGGTATTGTCTTTCTTTTATGAAAAATAAAACTAATTGTATTTTTCTGATTATGAATTCAATATCCATGCATTCTGGAAAATATAGAAAATTCAGAAGAACATTAAGAAATAATGTCACTATCACTCCCATCCTACTACCTAGAGAACTATGATCAATGATTTGGTGTATTTCCTTCAAAATTTTTGTCTATGTATATTTATGTTTTTAAAAATAAAATTAGGATTATACCAGGTATACCATTTTGTGCACTGCTTGTTTTTACATACATTTCCCTGTATCCTCACCTAGACTTTTTGAATTTGATAATTTAGCACTCAATTATGTTGATGAAGCATATGTCTACGTATTTAACCTATCGATTTGAGTTTTCAGAGAAAAACCATATCAGATATGACTGTGATGATCATGCCAATAAAAGTTAAACCCCAGAGCCAGCTCACGCGCATGCAGACATGAAACGCAAGTGAGTTCCTAAGGCCGGTGGTTATCCTGGCGGAGAAGGGGACATGGCGAAGCAACATCATATACCTGGTCCCTCGCCGAAGGAGACAGATCTGGTTAGTGGGAAGCGAATGGGTTTGGAAGGAGTCTATACTTGGAGACCAATTAGCTCTGAGACTTTAGGTTATTCCGCACCCTCTGCAGCCTTGGCTTCCTTCTCGGCGAAATGAGGACAATACCGGTGAGCGCCTCATCCAGGGCCAGCTGCTTCAGACCTCAGAGCCTTTGCAGCCGTCATTTTCTCTGCTGAAGTCAGCTCTGCCTTCTCTCCACCTGGCTGCCCTTCCCTACCCACCATACTGGATAGGTGACCTTATTACAGTGTCGCCTCCCCCAACGGAGGGTAAGGCCAGCAGGAGCTCTGGCCACAGGCCTGATGTCCAGGTCTTCCTTGGCCACTGCGTCTGAAGCAGAGGACCCCTCCCCTTGTTCTCTATCTAATTCCTCTAATCATGCACCTTCCAACACTTATGATCACAACTTGTCATTATTTTGTCTACCCGCTGTTTCCTTGAGTCTTGTCTGTTTTCTCCTCTCATTAGGACCCCCCTCTGTCTTGGTGGCCGCTGTACCCCTCAGGCCTGGCACATAGTCGGTGCCCCATACATGCTCGTGAAATGACAAGAGAAACAGCTCTGGGGACCCTAGGCCCGAGAACGAGAACTCAGCCAAGACTGCCGGGAGCTGGGCTGATCCCCAACTGAGGGCGGAGGCGGGGCCTCGTGGTTTCGGGGCGGGGCCTCGGGGGCGGGATTGGGGCCTCGGGGTGTGGCTTCGGGGCTGCAGCGAAGCTGGCCTGACCGTGCTGGGGTCCAGGCTGCACCGGGCTGAGTTCTTCCGGCCCTCCGGCCCTCTGGCCTTCTGCCCGCGCCGCCGCCGTTAGGGGGCGCCCGCGCTCGTGGCGCCGCGGCTCTGCTGGGAAGGCGCCGCCCGCGCCGGGCGGCAGGAGC